CTTGAGGGAAGGTCTTTTGATTCTTATTTGTGTTATTGACACTTAAGAAAATTTGTAAAGAAGACCCATCAAAAGGCAAATTTTAGTTGTCAGCCTCAGCTTAGACACTTAAACTTTGAATTTTAGTGTGAATCAGGTTGATATCTTGTGCTTGAAGAAGGACCCCAAGACTGATGTGCAATACATGTTATTTGGACTGTGGTTTAAAAGAACATACAATGAGCTGCAAGTATTATCAAAGAAGGGACCTAAGGTAATGAAATTAAGATATAGGGAACTTAAAAAAGAGAAAAATCGATGAGTTCTTCCACACAATTCCCTTTCTCTATTTTTTCCCATTATTTCATTTGCTAATGGAGAGCTTGTGATTGATCAGTTTGGGTACATTATTAGATCTTTTAAAAATATATTTTTAAAATGTTCTAAATCATTACATCCATTTAACATAAAATATTGAATTTTTAATAAAAACTATTCAGCTGGCAATATTACAGTTATTTCTTAAGTGTTCATAATTTTATTTTATGTGCTTAAAGAGCTCTACTGTTTTCTTGTCCAACGTCATTCTGTCTAACATTTGTGCAAATGGCTTGTTTAAGAAACTTAGCCCAGCAGTGGAAAACAGTTCTGTCTCACCTGTTAATTTTCTGAAAACTAAAATAAGGAACCTTTATATTAAAGATACTGGCTGCATGTAGTTAATTATTCTCTTCTGCTGAATTTGTACATATTCGTAATCTGTGGACATTATGTTGCTTTAAATATACTTGTTATAGCAGAATAACCATGGTGAACTTCAAAGTTTGTAGTGCAGTTTGACAAAAGTGACCCAGAGCTTCATAGAAATCATTAAGAAGGGACTTCTATAGGTCAGCAGGATCACTCTTATACAAACCATTCTATGCAGATAAATCTAACCTCTTAGTAAAACTACCAGCAACCCTGATGCAGCACCATAACCTGCCACAGTTAAAGCAGGGGGGCCACACAATGCTGTGTCCATCTATCAGGAAAAATAAAGCGCTTTGATTGAAATAAATATTAAAAAGCCTGTACTTCCAGTGGCAATTCAGGAGATTACATAAACTCTTTCCCTCTTATAGGCCTCCTCATCTGAAGACATGGGCAGATGGATTGGAATTTTGTTAGCTGAAACTGGTTCATCTACAGACCCTGGAGCTCTGCACTATGACTACATTGATGTGGAGATGACTGCAAGTGTCATACAAGCTGCAAAGCAGACCTTCTGGTAAGATGATTAAACCAAGTAAGGGCATTTCCTGTAATTTCAGAATTCACAGCTTTTTGTTAATTCCAGCATCAGGAGGCCTTATCAGATTTCCCCTCTCTGCCAACTATTACAGTCATGAAGGTTGAAGTCCTGAGTGCCTCAGTATGGTAGATGTGTTTATGATTATCCTGCTGGCATTTTGTTCAGTTTGGAAGGAAGGCAAAATATATCCAATTTTATGACATATTACAATCTTTGTTTTTTTATATAAAATGAGTCTAATAATTAGGTGCTATATTTTTCTCCCCAGAGCCACCACTTTCAATGGCAAAGTATACTGAAGACGGATCATGGTTCAGTTGTATAGCTTACATTGGCTTTCTTCACTTTCCAAGTCTAAACATAAGTAATGTAAATGTACAGAAATATTTTAACCCTTGACTGCTTGTAACCTCAGTGTTTCCCTAATGCTGATAAATTTTTGATAAATGAAAAGCTTGATTAGAACTATAAAATTAAAACCAAGATTTTTTTTTAAAGGAAGGTTCACATGTAAATTAAAGTTTCAATACAGATTTTCTTAACATGTTCCTCAGCAAAGGTCCTATGCCATCTATTCAGAAAAGCAGTGCGTGTGTGTGTGTAGTGATTTACATATTCAAAGCATTCCACAACACTCAAACCCCTGTCCCATTTGCTGTGACACTTTCTTGATTAGCATTCTAGGATGGATGACTACTTAGGGGTGAAGAAACTCCCTTTCTAAAACAATTGTCTTTGTTTACTAAGTCCATATAATGGGTAATTGGCAAGATGCTTTACTAGGACTTTATTGACTTGTGTGACAAGTGGACCGTCCTGGGGCTGGTCCAGATGTCGCCCCACCCATTTGTCTGGGGCACGCCGCCCACCTGCCTCTCCTGCCACACTTTTTATGTTATTTAAGTTGTTCCCAGGCAGGAGGCTGCCCATTTAATTGCCCTGATGCCAAGGGCGAATATACAACTCTGACATCCCCTTATGCCATGTCCTATGCCTTGCAGCTGGCATCCACATCCGCTAATACTCCCCCAGCCCCTTTTCTGGGCCACTCTCAGCCTCACCAAACCCAAACTTGGCCTCAGGCATCCTCAGACCTACCTGGGCCCCCTGCCCTGACACTGGGGCTTCTTCCCATGCACCTACACTGGGACCTCAACACCCGGTTCCCTCACTGGGTTTCTGGTCCCAATGCCCCTTGAACCTCAGACCTCACTCAGTGGCCCTGTCTCAGGCCCCCTTCTCCTGGCCTGTACCCCATCTCAGACCCCACTCAGGGGGGTTTGGCCCTGTCCTTTTCTGTCAGGGTGTGCTCCCCTAGCCTTTCCCCTCCACAAGGTCACTTGCAAGGCAGCTAGGACTGAGGCTTTCTGGTTCGTCATACTTGCCCTTCACTGGGGAGGCACAGTTACGGCATTTCCTGGAGACTGCCCTGCCACAGGCAGCCCCACCACACCATCCAGCCCCCTAGCAGGGTGTAGTTTTAGCTCATGCCCCAGGACCAGGGACTTCCTCCATCCCCATAGTTACTGCCCTGAACCTCCAAGCTGTTCTAGGAGCAGCAGCCGGCTGGGTGATGTTGTTTCTTCAGCTCCCTGCAGCAACTGCCCACTCTGCTCTTGGGACCTAGCCTTATACCCAGGCTTCCAGCCTCTCCACCAATCAGGTGGCCTTCGGCCTAACATGTGACTGCCTGATTGGACCTGCTCCTGCCTGCAGGCTGCTTACTGCTTGTTCAGATCCCTTAAAGTGACATGTACAACCTGTGCTCTGCCACAGGTTGTTCCTGCAAGATGTTGGCCCTTCTCATCTCCCAGTCAGATTAGCTGGATGCACCTTTTCATAGAATAGCACCCTTGCATAGAATAAAAGGCCTTAAATCCATAGTACATTTTAATTAAAAAAATGAATAGATGGCATAATGTATACAGAAATGGCATGAGGGTACATAATATACCCTCATCAGCTTACTGTCAGAAGAACTACCACATGAGAAAATATGGAGCTTCATTCATAGACTAGTTTGAATGATTGATAGAAATCAGGGATGGTGCATCTTTTGCCACAATCCCACTTCTGTTAAATCCAAGTTATTTTGACATAATCATAATTCATTTACTTTTTTATAGTTACACTAATAGTTCTTTTGAAGGTAATAAGGCTCAAAAACTTTATTTTATGTCAACGTGTATTTTTGCTTCAATCAGCATGCAATGATAACCACATTAAGAAAAACAGAATGGAAACATTTCCCCCTGAATAATGCTTGGCTTTCATTTTATAACAAATGTGATATTAATTGAAACCAAGTGAAAAAACAAATGCAACTAAACCACATATTAGAAAGGAAAGACGAGCCTAACTTGCAAAATAACAAAAATCCCCTTTTGAAAATGATTTAAATGAATTGTCTGTCACTTAAAGCAAATATAAGGGCTTATCATAAACAACTTAAAGCACTTCCTGTCTGATTTTCAATCTAATCATTTGTATAAAATTAAAAGAAAAAATGAGAAAAAGTTGATAATATAAAATCCTAATAAAACTAATACCAGTATTTCAGTTAACTGTAACTTTCATTTACTTTGATAATATTTAAAAATGTTTAAATAAATGTTCAATACCTAACATTTATAATTTTCCTGGGTTTCATACCCTGCAGAATTTTTAGGTAGTATTGAGGATTAAGTTTGATGAAAGTTATGAAATGTTTAGGATGGCAAAAGAAAAATGAATTATGGACGTGGGCGGCTAGGATCTGGAACCAACTTCCAAGAGAAGTGGTGCTGACTCCTACCCTGGGGGTCTTTAAGAGGAGGCTGGATGTACACCTTGCTGGGATCGTTTGACCCCAGTACTCTTTCCTGCCATGGCAGGGGGTCGGACTCAATGATCTGCTCAGGTCCCTTCTGACCCTAGAAACTATGAAACTTTTTTATTAATTGCCTGTCTATCAGTAAAATTACAAGCAAAATTGTTGATTGTATTTGTTTTACATTCACTTCTCTGGGAACAGAGAAGGTGATCCTTTCTTAAGCAGTATAGATGAAGAACTTGTAAATATTTAATGCAAATTCCACTGTGATCAGTTGGCTAATACTGTTAGCAGCAGTGATGAAGTGACAAGAACTCAATTGTACCTAATAACCTGACCCTGAGAGTACTGAATGAAATGCTTTCCAGACCAGAAGAGATTTATCTCTGAGAACGCAAAGAGGTCAGATAAGGTCATAAAAGACTGGAAAAGACAACTATCTTTAAAAGGGAAAAAGAAGGACTCAGGAAATTATAGACCAGTGAACATACCTTCAGTTCTCTGGAAAGAAATTTATTTGGATATTTGTTCCATCCATTTGTAAGCATCTAGAGCAGTTGTTAGCAGGGTTTTGCAGCAGCAAGCCAGATCACCCTATCTCAGGTCCAAAGCAGGCTAGTACATCAGACCTGGTCACTGCTGCCACTTTTCCCCAGCATCTGGAAGGTGGGCACATTCTGCCTGGCTGAGCAGCAGGGAAAAGCGGCAGCGGCAGTATTGAATGTGCCTGAAGCTCCACAGCTGGATCTTGTCAGTCTGTAGGCTGGATTTGGCCTGCAGGCTCTATATTGCCAGTCGATGACCTAGGAGATAACAAGGGGCTGAGTAATAGCCAGCATGCCCAGAGCCTGAGTTCAGAATGTGACAGAAAAATTAAAGAGTTTGAGGTTCAGATGATAGTCTCATCAATCCTCCCTGTTAAAAGTAAAGTCCTGGACAAGAATCATCATATCAGAGAAGTTAACTCATGGCTACCAAAGTAAAAGGCTTTAGTTTCGTTGACAATGAGTAGATCATCGTTGAAGAAAGATTACTGTGCAGAGAAGGGATCTATCTAGTAAAGACTGAAACAAGCATCTTTGGACATCATCTGACTAATCTGGAGAAGCAGGCTTTAAAACACGCCCTATAGAGGATGGTGGAGAAAAGCCTGCTAGCCAATGTGCAACTAGGCTGAAGGGATGAGGTGAAGAAACAGTGCTTAATTCTGGAGAATGGATGGGAAAATGTAATAGAGTTAGATACAAGAGGAAAAACATTTGATAGTCTGAAGATATCCTTCACACCTGTGTACTAATGCAAAGAATGTGGGGAACAAGCGGGATGAACTGGAAGTCACAGTATATAAAGAAAAGTATGATTTAATGCCATTACAGAAATTTGGATATCACTCCCATGACTGGAGTATCATCACTGAGGGGTGTAGTCATAGTTTCATAGATTTAGGGTCGGAAGGGACCTAGTAGACCTTCTAGCCCGACCCCCCGCCAGGGCGGGAGAACAACAAAACCCCAGAACAAGAAACGGGACTCAAATGAGTCCAGCCAGGTAGGCATCCAGTAGTCTGTTGTAGAGGGACAGGTTCCCAAAAAAGGAAGAGGCGGTATGACAAGAACACATTGTGATTGCTCTCACATCCAGAAAGAAGTGACCATCATATCCTTGGAATGACGATAAAGACCAGCTGTCATGCGATATTGGGGCCCTACTATAGAGACCATCAATTCCTGATGAGTAGGAAGATGAGGCCTCCTTCAGATGATCAGGGTATCCAAAACATACAAGCTAGTCAGAATGGAGGATCTTAAATTCCCTTTTATCTGTTGGAAGAAAAATACAACAAAGTATAAATGTCCAGGTTCAACTCCCCTTATGTGGATAAATATCACCTAGACTTCAGTAAGATTTGTGACAGTGTCCTACAAACCATTCTCTCACGTAGGCTGGAGTGTCATGCTCTAGATAGAATTGTATTAGATTAGTTGATTAGCCTCAAGGAAATTATAACTGTTAAAGGCTAAATGTCAGGCAGACAGGACGTCTCAAGTGGGGTTCCTTAGAGGTCCAGAGTTTTTTTTATTAATGAATTACTTGCAGGGAGAATATATATTGATCAAATTTGCTGCTGACACAAGAAAGAAGACTGAAATTTAAAAAGATCTTCATAAGTTGGAGAACTGGGATATAGAAAACAAAATAAAATTCAATAATAAATGTAAAGTTTAACGCATAGGAAAGAAAAACTAGATCTCTTAATGGAGAGGAACTGAAGAGAATCCTGAGGCAAGCAACAAAGATAATAAAGTGCTTGGAAAGTGAGCCACATAAAAGGCTGAAGGAACTTAATATGTTTGGTTTGGGGAAAAGGAGAACAAGATGGGATATGATAACAACTTTCAAGTATTTGAAATGCTCGATAAAGAAGATGTAGAGAGTTCTTCCCTGCACCAATAGTCAGGGCACAAGACAAAGAGTTTAAACTACAGCAAAACAGATTTAGATTAAATCTCAAGAAAACTTCATAACTTTAAGGACAGTAGGACAATGACACAAGCTACCTAGTGAAGCTGTAAAATATCCCTCTTTGGAGATTTTCAAAGAATGATGCATACTCATGTCTGTGACAACTTAAGAAAGATGAATGCAGCATCTGTGCAGGAGGGTAGGAATCCTTGAGGTCCCTTCCAACCCCATGATTCTGTGAACTGAGGTATTGTGTCCAGATTTGGGCACCACATCTCAAAAAGATGTGGAAAAATGTGAGAGTCCAAAAGAGAGCAAAAAAGCCTATCAGAAGGCTATAAAACATGACTTATGAGGAAAGAATTGGGTTTGTTTAGTCTAGAGAAAAGACTGAAGGGAGGCATGGTAACAGGCTCCAAGCATGAAAAAGTTTTTACTGCGAAGAGGAAAGTTCTGAACTGTTCCCTATGCACTGGGTTGAGGGCAAGAAGGAATTGCCTTAAATTGCAACATGGGAGATTCAGGTTGAGTAGTAAGGGAAAGTTTCTAATTGTAAGGACATTTAAGCAGTGGGATAAATTACCCAAAGAGTTTGTGGACTCTCTTCCACTACGGGTTTTTAAGGATTCTTTAGTCCAACCTGCAGGCCAGCTCCAGCTCCTGGGCCCTATCATCTGGCCTCAGAGGGGGACTCTTCCCCCCGCTCCTCCCCATCCCCGTGGGGCAGTGAGGGGGACTCTTCCCCCTCCTGTCTTCGCCACCATGGGGCAGGAGGGGGCGGTGGGCTCTGTGCAGTGCTGCCAGGCCCAGCCTGGGCACAGGGAGCAGCTGTCATTGAGCTGCTGCCCCTGTGGGGTGGCCCCACCTCCGCGGCCTGTCCTGGTCCCACTGAGCCCTGGCTGGGGCACCCGCACAGCGAAGCCGGGCCAGGCTGCAGGGGTGGGGCCACCCCTGGCAGCTGCAGCTCAGTGATGGGGACACTGAGCCCTGTCAGCAGCACAGGCTGGCCTGGTTGCACTTCTGAGGTAGGCCGCTGCGCGGCCAGCTGCTGCCCATGAGTGCTGGGCCAGGCTGCGCTGCTGACAGGGCTCAGAGCCCCCATTGCTGAGCGGCCATCACCGGGGTGGCCCTGCCCCCACAGCCCAGCCCCACCAAGTAGCCTCAGCCAGGGCTCAGTGGGGCTGGGCTGCAGGGGTGGCACCACCCCAGGGGCTGCAGCTCAGTGACAGCTACTCCTCACCCCTAGGCTGGGCTGGACCAAGCTGGGCAGTGCTGCACTGGGACCCCCCTCCCTGCCCTGTGGCGGCAGGGGGCGGAGGAGGGGGAAGAGTCTCCCCCAGCACTGAAAAGAGCCCCTGCCCATGGGGGAGAGGGAAGAGTCCCCCTCTGAAGCTGGGCAGCCCCATACAGAGCCCCACCCCCCCGGGCAGGGTGGGGCAGGGAGGAGGGGGGCTGCTGCACCCCAGATGTGGTGCCCCTGTGGAAGGGGGGGGAGGAATAATCCCCTCCCTGCCCCCTTAGCCTTAATGGGGCCATGCTGGGACAAGAACTGTTATTAATTTCTATTTATTCATTTTATTAATTTTCCAAGATCTTTCATTGATCTCTGAGGGAGAAGACCTAAATCATGCATTACCCGTTCTGCAGAGACAGGTTTTTGTTCCCAACAGGAGGTCCATTAAAATCAATTGTGTTCTGCATGAATGAGTCACTTAAGGTAGTTGAAATTTTACTCCTTCATGATCCAATTAGAAATGCATTGAAGCTATTCACCAAGGTTTTTGTGAGACGCAACCAGAGTGAGCGCTTCAAGGGTTTATAGAATGTTTGTTATGAAATTTTGATATGAAACCATGGAAATCTCCACTGGTGCCGTGTAAGTCTCATTTCAATCCTCAGGATAGGGTTTAAGAAGGAATTAAATGGCACAATGCCTTTGTGTTGGTCTCTTTTCAGTGGACTAAAATTCTGAGAAGCAAAAATCAGTGAACATTTCCCCTATAATGGCCTGTAATCAAGCATTTGAATAAGAGAACTAGTATTGGTCTTCTGTTTAAAATAACTGGATGTCACGGTTTTTTAGTTTCAATCAAAATGATGCATGTTAGAATACTCGAAAACATACTTTTCTGCCTCAATTAATTTCTCAGGTACTTTACAACTTGCCATGATTCTTGCTGTGTGTTTTATAGTCTCAAGACTGAATCCTACAATGCATTGAATGCCTCCAACTTCTCACTGAATGAGGTGGGAATTGAGAATGCTTGGTGCTTTATGGAATCAGGACCTAAATGAGGGATCAGCAACATTTTTGGGCAGAGTGCCAAAAACACCCACAACCTTGACTGTAAGATGTTGGCGTGCCGGGGTGGGCACTGGAGGAACTGCGAAGGGTGCAGTCCTTGTGGCAGCTCAGCCCTGGCCCCCTTCCCATCATCCACCCTGAGGCACACGTGCCAAGCAAAATGCCTTTGTGTGCCATGCTCTGGCCAGGGATTGCCTGTCCTTGAACTGAATGCTGACAGTGATTAGCTAATGTGACTTAAATCTGTACGTAGACTACATTTTTCCTTATCGCTGAATGGAAGACTTGAACATGCATCTTCCACCTCCAGGACGGGTGCCCTAAAGACTAGATTGAAGATGTAGTCCCTTTGTCTCTCTTTCAGTATCTTTTAAGACTGTTCTGTTTAGTATGAATACTAAAAACATCATTCGTTGGGCCAGAAAAATTAGGAAAGAGGAGGGCACTTGAGAGATGCAGAGTTCTAGTTCATGCATGAATCAAACAGATCTATCTGTGTGTCATAATAGGGACCTGAACTACATCCGGATAAGCTATTCTGGAGTGAGGTGTATGTCTTTGTCTGAACAACAAGAAAAATAGTTCAGGGTTTTGTTCCAAGCAGAATAGAAATAAATGTTGAAACTGTGGAATTCTTGTTTTCTGGCCAGGACTACAAAAAACTCACTCTTCTTTCTCATAAGGCTTTATCGTATTTCATGGATCTCAACTTCAGAAGTTGAATAGTTCTGTTCTTCAGGACAAATCTCTTTATTTTCTCCTTCTCTTTCTTTACATATTTGAGTCTAAAAAAAAAATTTGGTATCTCATTGTGTTCCTGGTTACGCTGAAAGTATTGCTTGTGAAAGCAAATTGCTCTTATTGCAATTTGGGATCCAAACCTGCAAGCTTTCCACGGGGATGTGTTTGTTCCCAGTGGGTCCATTAAAATCAATTGTGTTCTGCATGAATGAGTCGGTTAAGTTAGCTGAAATTTTACTCCTTCATGATCTTATTAAAAATATTGAAGGTATTCACAGAGATTTCTGTGTGAGATGGAACAAGAGTGAGTGCATCAAGTATTTATAGAATCCTACAAAATTAGAATACTAGAAAATACGCGTATTTATAGAGTCACAGAGACCGTAAAACATGTCACATCACAGCCTGTAGTGAGCTAAAGTTCTGTTGTGGCAAAACCAAAATTGAGAATATTGTTTAAAAACAAATAGAGAAGAGTGGAATTTATAGTAGATCAAAGCACCAAAATATTTTGAAAATATCAATGAACATTTTTATACAATCAATAATGTTGCCAGAACCAAAAAGCTTTCAAGAACAATTTCCTTTTCAGATGTATGCTTTTTTCTTTTTTTTTTAAACAAATTGACCATCAACAGATATCACTTACACAGAATATTTTGCAGGGTTTCCTCATTTCCTAAAACTCCAGTGTGCTGTGCCACTTCTCCAAACCACTTCATGCTGTCCTATTTAGATACAAGTACTTCTCACTTAATGTCATCCCGGTTAACGATGTTTCCTTATGTCGCTCATCTATTAGAGAACATAAACGTTTGAAGTCATGCAATGTTCAGTTATAACATTGTTTGGCTGCCACCTGCCAGTAGGTAACTACTGTGACATAATTGGATTTGCTTAACATCGTTTCGCTTAGTTGCATTTTTCAAGAACGTAACTATGATGCTAAGCAAGGAATAGCTGTACAAGAAAACTTTTAGTGATGCGTAACAAACTGCTGAGTTACTTATATCAGTAGGCTCCCATGTAACAGCACCAACAAAATAGCTACAGCTGTTGCCATCCTGGCATACATCCAGTCCAGCACCTCACCGTATAAAAACAGTATAGAAACAGATGTTGTGATATTGTATGTCAGCATCTAAATGGGAATACAATACTTGCACTTTTATAAAGGTTACAGAAGGAGCAAAACTACCTGCCACTTTAATGTCATGAAAAAAACTATATGCTTCTAGAGTAGGTGGATATTGGCAAATGACCATTGAATTGTCAGAATAAGACTGAAACAGCTGGCTTTTACTATTATTTTTATGTAGCTTTATGAACAGACGTGTTATAACTACTAATCCATACCGGGGAAGCACTGCCAATGGCTACGCATGTCCCAGTGGAATGACACTTCATTACGATGATGTTCCCTGCATAAATGGATCGGTAAGAATTTAATTTGTACAGACAAATGGCTTGCATGTGTTGAATGTAAGGACATCTGAAAGCTGTATTATCTAATTGAACACCATTGGGCAGGTTCCAAATGAACTCAAGTACTCCTTCAGATTAGGAACCACAAAACCTCTCTCTCATTTATGAAGTACTGGGGGTGTGGGACATATTGTTTAAATTAACCTGTACATGAGCCAACGTATATTTATACAAATAGTTGCCTGTTGATCATTTGGTGCCAAAATCCATTAATAAAACCTTGAATTTTTTAAAAACTCATTAGGTCAAGGGAAAACCAAGGACTTAATTTTGCCAGCCCTTGTATTACATATGTATTGCATATTTAAGCATGAGAAAAGGCTATAACAAGGCTTCTTTGCTCACTTACTCCCTTGATAGCACCACAGAGGTGTGACCTGTCCCCATGTGTAAGCTTTTTATGACAATTGTTCGAGTCAACCCAAAAGGGGCCCTTATGAAAAAGGCCATTTTCCCCTTTTGTCTGTATAAGCCTTGTGCAGATATAGGAAGTGAAAAAGCATATTTGCCCATAGTGGTACCCCGCTGCACATAAATTCAGTCCCTCACATAGACAGTAGGGGTGTGCAAAGCAGGCTATTCAATTGGGATTCGGCCCAGTTCGGGGGACAGTGATTCGATTAATTGATTCAGACCAGTGTCCTGATTTGATTCAGCTGAATCCGAATTTGAAGATTTGATTCTGTGTTGGAGAATCAGCGATTTGGCCATAGACACAGCTTTAAATGTTGTTTTACATACCTCAAGGTACCAGGCTCGGCTTGTGAATGCTGCAATGCTGGGGCAGGTGAAGCATCCCACAGGAGTGTGGGGGGGATCCCTGCATGCTCAGTGGCAGACCCAGAAGTGGATCAGAAGCATTTAGGAGGCTTAGGAGGCACCAGCTACCGAGCAGGGAGGCAGAGGGGGGTTTGCTAGGGGACTCCT